TTTAATTTGTTATTTATGTTTATATTGTTATTATGTATAAATAATAATATTTTTTAATATTTTTTAAAAATTATATTAATCTATTTAATTTTATAAATTTTATAAATACATAGAATATAATTAAATATATTTTATTTATATTAATTAAATATAAATAGAATAGTAATATTTTAATATTTTAATAAAAAACATAATTACAATAATTTTTTATTTGCGCATTATAATTAGATATAATAATTTATGATTAATTTTTTTTTTATTAAAAAATTATATATATAATTTTTAAAAAATATTTAAAAATTACATAAAAATTTATAGTTATTAAATTTAATTTTATTTTATATATATGAATCAATATAAAATTTTTTTTACTTAATACTTTATACTTAATATCTAAAAATAACAATATTACATATATATAAAACTATATTTTACTGATAATCAGTTTACTTAATGTCAATTTATTTGAACATGCAGTTCAATAGTTGAAGTCGAAGTATCAATTTGTTTGAAATCTAATTATTAATATTAAAGAAATTGTTTCTTTATTTTGTGGATTTATAGAAAAATAAATAATAAATAACGTTAAAATGCATGATGCTTATGAAGAAACATCAATATTAAATATATCTGTTCAAATAGAGTCTATGGCTGCGTATGGTACGAGACACATAACCTTCAATAACTAAATATTTTTAATTCTAAATCTATAGTTTTGTGCAAATATTTCTTTTTTTTTATATGCAAAATTTTTTTTATTGCTTTTTTGAAAAATGAATTTAAAGTTATTTAAATTTTTATTTCTAATATTATTTTGTATAAATATCTAAGTATAGTGTATAATAATAAAATATTTAAGTATAGTGAATAATAATAAAATATTATAGATGATAATTTATTGATTGGAACAAGAGAAGGTCATCTTCTTATGTATAATGTACCGTCTGTATCAGATGATAATCACAAATTAGAATTATTACGTCATAGTAAAAATTTTAACAAAAAGCGTATTACACAGATAGATGTTATACCAGAATATAATTTGCTGATAATTTTAACAGGTATTTTTATTAATTAATTTTTAAAATTAAGAATAAAATATGTAATTTATCATATCTTTTTGTAGATAATATAATATGTGTTCATGATTTAAATTCTTTAAATTTTCAACAACTATATCAGTTACAAAAAACTCGTGGTGCTACATTGTTCAGTTTAGACATAAAATCAAATCAAATCATAAATGGTGAAAAACATACAGTTGTACACTTATGTGTTGTTGTGAAACGTAAGCTACAATTATATAAATCAAAAGGAAAAAAATTTGAGACATTTAATGATCTTGAATTAACTGTGCCAGATATACCACGTGAATTATCTTGGTATATTATATGCTATGTAGAATAATTTATTTATAATAATTTATTATTTAATTATACATAAAAAAAATATGTTTTAATTATTTCAAAGGTGTGGTGAAACATTAGTTTTGGGTTTTCGTGGATTATCATATACAATATTGGATTTAAATGGAAAAACTAAAGAATTATTTCCAACTGGAAAATCTCCTGAACCAAGTGTTACAAAATTATCTGATAATTCTTTTGTGTTGGGAAAAGATTCTCAATCATTTGTTATGGATACTAGAGGGGAATTAATTCAGCATAATCCAGTAAAATGGTCTGATACACCAAGTGCAATAGGTATAAAATATGTATAATTAGTTAATAGTAATTAGAATAATAGTAAAAATATTTATGATTTTTTTTTTTTTGAATATGCAAATATTGTATAAATTGAATTATTTTAGCTTGGGATGATCCTTATCTACTTGGAATTGTACATGATAGATTAGAAGTATATACTACAGAAGGTTGTTTGCATATACAAACAATAAAGGATTTAAACAAAGCTAGGCTTATATATAGATGTAAACAGGGAAAAGTTTTTGTTGCATCAATTAGTCATGTTTGGTGTGTGAGAGCAATTGATGTAACACATCAAATTAGAACATTACTTGAACAAACTCAATTTCAATTGGCATTGAAATTAACTGTATGTTGATAATATATTTTATTGTTTTTTTTTTCATTCTAGTACAATTTTAAAATAAAATTTTTCATTATTTTAGAGTTT